GACTGAGGGATTACACAGACTACTTTCAATACTAGTTTTAGTATGATTTGGATTTTTAATGATTTGGATACTTTTGACAACCCTAATATTGTACATACAGTTTTAATTTCATATACAAATTTAACCCAAACCTGAATATACTATAGTAAAAGTCAGTTGTAAATATTCTTTGTACATAAAGCAAAAGGCATTATCATGCCAGCCACTTCTACATTCTGTTCAAACACAGAAGCATCTGGGACCAGTTGATTTTTAGTTCGTGTCTTTCAAATGCAGACACTTTCTCTTGAATATCCAATCACGTCCATCAGAACTTCCTCAAATAAGCCTGAATATGTTACTTTGCAGTGACATCATTCTGGGATAAGTTTCTCAATGACCTGAAAATTTGTATTTTAAACATTTTCAGCTCATTGAGCTTTGCATTGAGCCTGTGATCAAGGCAAGGGTTCATTCTGTGTTCATTCAGTCTTTCTTGGGTATTTGTTTGTACACTATAAGTGTGAGTAAACATCACAGATTAGCTCAGTATTACAACTAAGCCAGTACTTTATAGTCAGATTTTTATAGTTATTGAGTAGGGATGCACCAATCTGATACTGGCATTGATATATGCGCTGAAAAATTTACTGGATGAGATATTGGCTGGATGGAAATATAAAGTGATGTAATAAGAATATTTACTGGTCAGTGTTGGCCCAGAAATTATGTAAAATTGTTCTGTAATTAGTTAAGGGATGAATAACAGCTTCATAATTGATCAGTTCTGTCTTATTTTATTTTAGTTTAAAGGAAATAAATGCTATTTTTAGTCTCTGCACTGACTTTAAGGATTTAGTAGTAGTAAATACTTAAAGCCAGTGCAGTGCAATACAGTGCCTGTACAGTACTTATCGGAATCAGAATCAGAACTGAAAAAGCTGGATTGGTGCGTCCCTATAATGTTGAGGCCATCACTCTATAAGAAATGTACAGAACCAAATATAACCTTTTATAAGACTCAGCTCTTCCACATAATGTTTGCTACTTTTTCATCTTAGAACAATTCTGCTTGTGAATGTCAATTTTGTCATCAGAAACTGGAGAATAAACAGCATCGCACGGGCCTCATGCTTAACTGCAGCCTTAAGTGCACTCCCTTTTTCAGTGCAAGAGTGCAAAACTACTCTCCTCTTATCTACATGGCCCCAGCTTGCTTTGGGACAGTCGAGATTACAGAGTCGTATTTCATTGTGTGCGGTTGCAATAGTGAAGATGTACAGCTAAACGGCATTGTAAGTCCCTATAGCTGTAGCTCCCTCCCAGCCTCCACTCGTACTTGTGCTCTTCCGTGCCCTGACAGTTCTCCATTGTGGCCTAAGTGTTGAAGTGAGCAGCGGGAGAATGGACACAGGATCGTTGTGGACTTCTTCTGGGATATGGGCTGGCAGCAGGAGCCCGAGGGGAGAGAGGAGAGACAGGTGCGGCCAGGGAAACAGTCAGTAAAAGGTACAATGGCTGCTGGGTGAAGTGCAGATGCGGAGAGGGAAAGAGGTTTTGACGGATAGTAGGAATTACAAAGTTATCAAACCCTTTTCAAGGCTTCATAGTGGGGGACAGTGTGTCTTTTTGAGGGGTAAATGGAGGTTTGGACATTGGACAGTGTCATATTTTCTGCAGATATGGTAGACTCCACAAACCGAGGGTAAAAGTGTTCTTAGATCATCTTTTAGTTATGGCTCTGTATTTACTTGCAATTCCTCGAAAAATTCAGACTCTACATGCACAAATGTTCAAAAATGTTGGGTAGCATGTATCAAAAATAACACCCACATAAATGACGATACTCAGAAATGCCACAATGAGGAGGAGGATTTCTGATTTTTCTGTGTTTATTTTAAAATTTCACAATAAATGTGACTTGAATCTGACTGATCAAAATGAATATAAAATTGTAATTGTGGCAGCAATAACAGTTTCTGGAAATCAAGCTGGTAACTGTAGTCATGATAGCTCTACTTCAGACAACATTAGTAGTATTAAATGATTGATAAGTAGTATTATAAGCAGTAGTATTGTTTTTCCAAATATTTTACATCAATTTAAATGCATTTTTACCAGTTTTGACCAGATTTATTCCTTCACTTACCCTTATGCGTTCTGATCAACCTAACTATTCACCTGCAATGAGTTTATAACCACTTTCTTCTCACTTTGCAACTTTCAGAGGCCAGAACGGAATTAAACTAACTACAACTAGCATGCCAACAGTGCACTTTCTGATTGATCGGACCTGATCCTGATCGGACAATGTTGCGGCCTTATAGTTTGATGTAAATAGCAATAAACAGGTGACTTATTTTGACATAAACAGCTGCTTACACTATACTAGCACTATACTAGTGCTGAGGCAAGACTCATTTTGCTCAAATACTTGGAAAAACATCGATTACAAGCCCTTTAACTACTACTACTACTTTGAAAGATGGATTGAGATGCACGCTCACTCTTGATAATGCTCCCAAATTGCCTCTTTATGGCATAATTGCATGAGGACAGGTATTGTTGATTGCATCCTCCAGCCCTCAGAGTGAAGGTCCACCCTCCCCCCTGTCCCCCATCATTTATCTGCTCCTGATTACTCGACAGCTTACGCACTCGCTCGTCTGTGTTATAATGTTTAGCCAGCTGTGACGCGCGGCTTAATCACTGAGCTGGGTTTATTTAATGGAGTGGAATCTGCTGGAAATGTGAAACTTGCCAGATACTTGGAAAATCTGTCAAGACTGTGAGGAAGGAGGGAATGGGCCACATGGTACGAGAAAACAGCTTGTCTTGGATTTCCGAAAGCTGTTGATGGCATTTCTTCACACGGCGCGGGCACCTGGTCGTAAATAAATCAGAACTATTTTGTGAACACATTGTGAACTTTTGTGCTGTAAAATATTGCCAACAAACAACTATTTTGGTGCAGAAATACCAATTGGCCCGTGCAAACTGTGTTGAAAATAAGATGCAGACTTGAATCGTTTGCACACATTTCTGAAATGTAATATTATTTACTGTTATCTCATTACTTATTGATTTTAAAGTGGCTGCACTTGATTTTTTGCTCCAGGTCAGATACATAGTAAGAAGCAGCTCATAGGGACAAAGTGAGACTGTTGTACTGTCTGCATCTAATTATAGTGTTGTATTGTATGTTAATGCGCTGTTTTCATGTTTGCTGTAACAGCAGAACTCTGCTCTGGCTTCTGAAACTTGTGAAACATGCCGTGACTTATTGGGATCCTTGGAATGTGTTCCTGAATTAGGAATCACTTCAGACCACTGCAAACAGTTGAAAATAAACTAATTCTGTTTTTTGTCATTTAAATCTGGTAATTTTAACATTTTAACAGTGTGTCTGACTTTTATATGCAACTGAGCTATACTCTTTGAAGCCATTTTTAGTATTTTGCATCCTTTGACTACTTGTTAGAAACGGCCATTTCGGAATTTGTTTTTGTATCTGTCACAATGCAGATGTATAACAAATATTATGACTATAAAATACACAGGTTGTAATGCTTGGTAGTTACGACTCTTAAAGGTTGTATGGAGGATTTTTTTTTGTTTCAAATTGTCAATGATAGAATTATAGAGATGCAGTAGCCTTGTAATTATGATGACCAAAAAAAAAGAGAATAAAAATTCATCAACTCTGGACGTGGTGGGGCCAGCTAAACATTTGCCAATAGATAACGACACTGCCTCGTTATCTGTTAGCTGACAGGCTGTCAATCAATCTCCCTACGTTTGTAGCGTAACTGACTTGCCTGCGCGCCGCCGGTACGAGGCTTACGTACGCCTGTCACGCAGTCCACAGACGCAAGCCGCACAGACGCTGTTTACTCCACCAACGCAACAGTTCTTAGCGGCTTTTTTTGACCTATATCTTCCTCGCAGTTAGCACAAAGTTTTGTTGCAATGGCAGACAAGAATCCAGGAGCAGTTAGCCGCAAAAGAAAGTCCGTTTTTGAGATTGCTGAAAGAAGAAGACAAGGGGAAAAGCAGCGAAGCCAAACTAAGGTGATTCTTGAAGATTCATTCCAGCGATGGCGCAACTGAAGCAGACGCAGGGTCTAAAGACTGACGCATTGGTCGCCAAATTACTCCTGGACAGGTCATTTCTGCTTATTATGAAAACGTACTTTATTTCCAAGAGCTAGACAAATGTTTTTCAGGACACGAAAGCGATATCCTATGTCTGAAAACGTAATTTTCAGTGCAAAGAAAGAGTCCGCTTGCTGCTGCGTGTTGTAGCTAGTTCATTCGCACGGAATCTCCACGCAACCTTCTCTGCACCCCTTTCCTGCTCCTCTCACCGCTGCCCGTTCCGCTCTTCCCCCTGCTCCTCACTTCTCCAGGCACGGAATCTCCGCGCACCGCTCCCCTCTCCTCTCTCCCTGCTCCCTGCTCCGCTTTTCTCCCTGCTCCTCGCTTCTTGTCTGCGCACGAAATGTCCGCGCACCCGCTCCCCCCGCTCCTCACTTCTCCGTCTTGCCTAACCAACACTGTAGTTAGTTGTTTACAAGTCATGTGCAGCGCACCGGCTGTAAACAAACCTGTTTCTGGCGTAAAGAGGAGGCGGGAGGAGGCGTTTCTACGTAGGGAGCTGTAGGGGAGGGGGGGTGGTTTCACGCATGCACAACATTTGAAAAAGGACAAACAGTCGCTGGATTTCTCGTTCCTTGGAAAATCCTCTATACAACCTTTAACTTACATTTGAGAGAACCATTTTCACTATAGACTTTTAGCTTGTACCAAACTTTGATACAACAAAATCATTGTACAGCTTTGTTGCCCCTGCGCTGTCAGAGTACAGGAAGGCGTCAAAATGAAGTGAACTTTGGGCGGCTTTGACAGACTGGAGTCTCGCTGGTATTTAACTCGGCAAATCCTTCCTGTGTACCCATAGAGACCAGACCTCTGTATTAAGCCCTCTTATCAGCTGATGGGCATTGACTGGTGTGTTGCAGGTTTGCCCCGGTGAGCGAGGAGGCTGCTGTCGGGACCCCCGTGGGAAACATCGTGGCGTCCGCTGTCAATCAAACCATCGTCTACTCCATCATCGAAGGCAACGAGCTGGGTGAGTGCACGCCAGTGGATAGGGGCTTTTGAGAGAGAAGCACATTTTAAAAGCTGCAATAACTCAATGGCACAGTGTTATTGTATTGCAGGGTTCCAGATGGCATCACAACTTTCTATAGGCTAATAGTGTTTAATACAGATGGGGGTGGCTAAAACTAATATTGTAGAAATGCAGATTTTTGTTGTAATATAGCAAGTTTTTGGGTTATTGGGTTGGGCCATTTTGTATATTTCATGGCAAAGTACAGTGTAATCAAAACGGATATCTGGCTCTTGCTCCTCATCTCGGAGTATGACACCATCACATGCTAGAATTTGAAACCCACCCATAGACAGAACGAAGCTGTGCACTGCTTTCAGCTCATCAGATATTTCACTAGCAAGGAACCTCAGAATATAGTGTAAATATAATCTGAAGGCAATACACATGAAGACGGTGATTATGGTTGACAAAGTAATATTCTAAAGCTGCTTTAGGGAGATGAAGAGGAAGGGAGCAGGTGGTATGAAGCTCAACAGTGACCACCCGCTCCCCAGTTCCAGAACTAAATGTTCCGTTCAGTTTTCTCATAGACTTTACAAAAAAATTATATATTAAAAGTTTGAAACCTTGCTTAGGGCTCATCAGCAATGTGGTAACTAATGAATACGAGACCTATAATTTTATTTAAAGTCTGCTTCTGAAACTTTATAAACCGCAAAGTTATTAAAACATCTCACAGAATTTTGCATTTTAAACTGCCTTTTTGGACTTAAACCACTTTATGGATATTAGTTGGCACGTAGCTTACGGCCACTTAGCTTTCATGATGTCTTTGACCTCTTAATATTTGAATTTTTTTGCAAAGTCTATGGGAAAAATAAATGGAAAATTTCATAAACTTAAAGTAAAGAGAGAAAGAGGTCTATGTGAGGAGTGGTCCTGCTCCCAAACTTGAGATAACAAACTTATCTTCATTTCTTATGACATTCACTTTGCCCCATAGTTTAGGCTTATTTGTTAGTGATGACATGTTTATTATGTTGGCCAAATGATGTTAGAATGTTACACAGTCTGGAGCTGTGAATTGTTTTGTGCCATCATAATATATGTGAATGTAGCTTTACCTAAATGTACCTTTGCAAGTTAATGTTTCATCTATTCCTAAATGCATTCTTTTACGATCATTAAAATGATTTAATGCTAAGATGTCTGACTTTCAAACCGTAAAAGGAGGAAGCAGGCATTTAAAACTGTCTAACTTTCACAAACCCTTTGGTACATTGCTAGTATTCATTGCTAGTAATAATAGTTTTACGGACACATTGTTCATTCATTTAAGAGACAAATTGGGTAATGCAGTACACAGTAAGTAGACTTGAGTACTGCTCTTCTATCTAATTGATGTTACTTGTATATTAAAGGGCTCATATTACACTGTTTCTCGATCTGTGTTATAATGTTGTTTCACAAACAGACCTGGAGTTGTGTTTTGTTTCATTCACACATGTTTAACACACAATCCTGCATATTTAGGCTGAATTCTTCTTTCAAACAGAAAGAAAAATAAACTCATATCTTTGAAGTTGTCCAATAGTAATAATATTTCACACATTTATTTTCAAAGTTAAGGCATTTTGAGTAATTTGTACCAACGCTGTGTCCACTTAAAAAGCTTTGTTCCATTTGATATGTCTATTGTTTTGTACCAGCTGGAGTCAAAGTACAGCTGAAGTACTGTTTAGTGGAGGCTGACTCATTCACTTCACTCACTACTTTTTAAATGTATGATGTGAGGGATGAAAGACTGTTCTTCAGCTCCTTCACTGTGGCATATTTCCATAACACTGGACTCTATTATAATTGCTGCTGTGGCGGAAAAGGATCACACAAATGTTTGTTTGCAATTGTCACTATTTGAAGTTTGTTATATCATATTTAGGACGGACTATTTCAGATCAGCTAACAGGACTTATAACAATATTAAGAATATTTAGGTGACAGTAGCTCAGTTGGCAGAGCATTTGTCCACTGATCCAAAGGTTGCCGGTTTGATTCTCGCTCTTGATATGAACACTATTGGTAGAGCAGTCATATTCACTGATCCACAGGTTGGCGGTGTCATTCCAGCTCCCACAAATGAATGTTGTTGTCATGTCCTTGGGCGAGACACTTAACCCCCCTCACTCCAGAGTCTATGTACATTAGTGTATGAATGTGTGTGTGTGAATAGGTGAGTGGTTCCGTGATGCAAAGTGTGACCATTTGCCAAGAAAAAAAAAAGCATTTTAGTTTATTGATTTGCTAACTTTCTTTTGCCCCTCTAGGTATGTTTTCACTGAACGAGTCAACAGGACTGATCTCCACGGCCAAACTCTTGGACTATGAGACCAATTCCAGCTACGTGCTCAAAGTGGAAGCCGATTCCATGGGAGTGGTGCTGTCCAACTTCAGAGCTCCCTCTAAATGTAAGACTCCCTTTTTGTCAAATCTTAAATAAACAGTAGACACGATGAGACACTTTAAACACACATTGTTACATGAATGATTGTTCATGTTATGGGTGATTATGGGCAATATCAAGACTAGATAATGATTCTGATTATATATAGATAATGATTATCAAGATAATCATTATCAAGTTTTACAGTTTTCTTTTTGCTTGCCATGTATTGACTTTTTCAAGGTGCACTATGCAACATTGCCTGGTCCTGGTGTCGCTGCTTTCAGGATCTGAGAGAAATCATGGTCCTGCACTGGAGCAGTTTGTCCAGTGGTGTGAGGAAAACTACCTGGATTTGAACGTTGCCAAAACTAAGGACATGCTGATTGATTTTAGACGTGCACCTTCACACAGTGTTAGTGTCATCCACGGTGATTATGTAGAAATAGTTGATAGCTATAAATAGCTGGGCACCGTGATGGACAATAAACTGAAATTTGACCTAAACACTGAAAACGTCGTCAAACGAGGGCAGCAAAGAATATATTTATTGAGGAAACTGAACTCTTTAACGTGAACAAAATTATTCTTAACAATTTTTATTGCTCTTTTATTGAAAGTCTTCTTACTTTTTCTTTTATTTGCTGGTTTGAATCCTTGTCTGTGAAGGATAGAAACAAACTTCACAATATTGTTAAAACCTGTTCAAAAATCACAGGGATCAAACTGAGGGAGCTGCACTCTTTGTGGGAGGAGCAAGTGCTGAGCAAAGCCAAGGGTCTCCTGGCTCAGCCGCTCCATCCTCTGGCTCCTGATTTTATCCTGATGCCTTCAGGGCGTCGGTTTTATGCTCCAGTATGGAAAACCAAAAGGTTTTCTAATTCTTTCGTGCCCAGTGCTATTAAATTATTAAATTCTAAGGGTACAGTTTTATGATAGTTTTATGAACGTTTTACTCTGCAATTTGTTATTTATTTTGAGTTCCACTGGTGGACGACAATTGGACTGACACACTGTGTGTTTGTTTGTGTTTGTGTTTGTGTTTGCTCGGAGATGCTGCAAATGAATTGCCTTATGGGATCAATAAAGTTTTCTGAATCTGAATCTGAATCTGAATTGCTGGTATAGAGTCCGCCTCCCGCTTGTTTCCATGGCGATGTTATTGCTTTGCCTAGAATGTTCAGCATTTTGGCACTGATCTTATATAGCTAAATGGATAGGTCAGATCTGTGGAGAGGTAAGATCACCCTCATTAAAGATGATATTGAAGGTTTTTTTTTTTTTGCAATAAAAATATAATAAATACAAGATAGAGTAAATGCCTTACTGGATTATAATGATGACGAGGAATTGCTTGGAAATATTTAGTGAGATATTTTAAAGAATTCCACCTTCGTTTGACGTCTTACAGTTGTGGCTGTCCATCCATTATTGCAGCTGCTCTAGGCACTTGCAGCGGCCTCAAATTTCATAGAGGGTATTGATTTTTACAACGGAAATACTGTATCTTTTCAATCAACTTCTATGGTTTAACACCTTTCAAAAAAAAAAAAAAAAAGTCATTGCCCTGATCGTTTAAATTTAACCTCAAAATGTCAGAGAGGATGTGTTACCTAAACCTTTAGTCTTATCTCATCCATCATCTGCCTACTTTGTCTTGGGGCTAGTCCACATTGTTGACACATTTTCCCTCTTAATGCTTAAACCTTACCAGTGACTTTAGCAGGTCGGTCTCGTAAGCAGACGACAGCAGCGCCAAGAATTTCAATGCAGAATATCAAACATTTGAAGATGATCAAAGTGGGGGTGATTTTATCTGAAAACTTCTCCAAAGTGCCTGAGACATTATAACACAGCGGAGTAATTGGTAAGGAGCCAAAATGAACATTCTCGGCCTCTCTCCGCCGCCCAGTATTTTACTTCAGATTGTCCATTAATTTAATCTGTATCATAATTTCTGCTATTGTCACTCCATCCAAAGTTTATTGGTCTTTTTGGCTAATTGCATATGGGAGTCAAGTCTAACTAAAGTGGCTCTGCGCACTTATAATTGAAACTAAAACTGCTGTGAAAGTGGTAGTAATTACTCTGGAAGTCTTTATCATTCTCTGCACTGTCTCGCTCTGAAAACATATCTGCTTTTGTTGTAATAGACTCCCAGCTCTTCGACTTCTTCCTTTCTTCTTTAATTACACTGTTTACCACATGCTGCTCTGTTCAATGCAAGCGTTTGAATTTAAGCTAACGTTCTGGGATTGAACTACAAATCATTGTCGTCATTAGCGAATCTCTGCAGATTTGCTTTTCATTTTGGTTTTAATCAGGCATCAAATCAATAGGAGTTGCACAATGTTTTAATCTGGCCCTCGTATTCAGGGGAAGGTTGAAATTGTAAATAGAAATGCGATTTAGAAGAAGTAGTTAAACAGATCCGTGTTTGCCGTGTCTTGTGAACTCTCGCCAAAACTTGCAATATTTTTACACACTTGAGAGAAAATATAGCATCTTTTGATTGAAGATTCTCTGTGTGCGGTTGGAGCTCTGCTAACATTGATACCCTCAAGCTGTTGGTTTATTCTGTAACAAAAGCTTTCACTAAACTAGCTGGCTTTCTTTGTAGTTAAGAACATTTAACCATAGTTGCTATATTTGGAAACTGTTGCCGTTGCCAAGACATTAACGGTCCTATATTACACAAAATTGTGAGCTTTAAGCCATGTTATTATGTTTTTACTTCCTCAAAAGCATATCAGGAGTTGTGTTTTGTTTCCAGATATCACAATGCTTTGTTCCACCATGTGATGTCATGAAGAAGCAGTTTTCAAATTAACAGCTACCTTTAGATCAGTAGAGATCAATTTGGGGACTGAAATCATCCAAATGATTGTAGTGAAGTAGGGATGTAACCATAACCGAAATATTGTGATATTGTATCATCAAAGTTCTTACAAAAATATTGTGGATCATCACAATATGTCGAATTACAAGTCTCTTTGCTTAAATTAAAACTTATGGTGCAGCAGTAGCTAAAAAAAGACAGAGTGAACTACATAGACCATGATCCCTTGTTATATTTCAGTGTAGACTACTAGAAGAAATAACAGTTCTAAGCACTTTTAAGTCTTAGTTCTTTGGATTAAGTCTTGTCAAGGCATTTTAAGAGGAAAAAGTAGCATATAACAGTTTTAGCTGTTTAGCCTCCACAAAATATTGCAATAAATATCGTACTGTGAGATGTATATCATGAAAATATTGTATAAATATTGTAAGAGATTTGGATATTGTAACATCCTTAATCTTGAGCTGCCCCATGATATCGCAATAAATGTCGTACTGTGACATTCATACCCTGATGATATCGTATCATGAGACTTGGATATTATTACACCTTATAGTGAAATTGTAAAGAGTTTCAAAACACAGTGGAGCACTTTCTGTTTGAGAAAAGTACTAAGCTAACCAGAAGAACCTGCTTAACTTAAATATGTACAGTTTGTGTGTTAAATATGTATCAGTGAAACACAACTCCAGGTAGGTTTTTGATGAAAAAACTGTATAACAGATCAGAAAATAGCATACTATGGGCCCTGTAATTCTTTCCTGCAATGCTAGTGCCCAAACAATAAACTTATTTTTTTTATACAAACAAAAAACAACTTTCTTTGGTTTATTACAGACTTATTTGGTAAATTCAAGGATAAATTCCAAGTGAAAACATTTAGACTTCAAAGCAGTCTTAACAAACCCACAGCAGCAAAAATTTAACCATCAAAAACTTTTTTCTCTCAATTATTCTATCTCCTATTCTAGGGGAAAAAACAGCACTATTGGATCTCTTGGCTTTAATCAGTGTCTAATTCTGCTATAATTGTCTTGCTAAATAACAAAAAGAAGATTAATACATCTGAAGAGTTGACACCACAAGTCAAAAAAGTTTATATTTAGAATGAGATATCAAATTTCCACATGGGAACATTACTCATTGTCAGTCTAATTCTGCACCTGTCAACATGGAGCACACAGGGAGCCAGTCGCCATGGCAGCTGTCAATCAAAGTTCACAATTGTACCTCTGTTGTGTCTTCTCGCTATGCATTTATGTATTGTGCATTTATGTATTGTGCTAACTCTGTGTTGCAGCGAATACCGCCAAAGTGATGATTGATGTGAGGGATGAGAATGACCATGCTCCAGTTTTCACCAGATCCCTTTATGTCGCCGGGGTAACTGAAGACGCTAAAACCTTCACCTCTGTGCTGCAAGTGCAGGTACAAAAGACTCTTATTCAATACACACAGTACATGCACAGTTTGCAATGTTGTGTATAACTCCTGTTTCAGCTACAGGAGTCTAGTAGATTATTTTATTTTTTTTTTTTAATTTTGGATTTTGTCCGTTTCTTGACCTGTTATTTTTGCAAACTAACTCAAAGAGCCCCTGTTTAACTTTCAAGAGCGCTCCAGGTCTCCTTTCTTCTGAGATTGTGATTTGTTGTTGCAAACCAATATTCAGATTATAAAATTAAAATGCTCCAACCTCTAGGCTTTTATTTTTTATTCAATGACTCAGCACAAAGAGAAGAACACACTGTTTTCTTTCTTTCTTTTTTTTTTTTTTTTTTTATGATTGTGTGTATAATTTGTGTTACTTACAGTGAAAAATTTGAAAAATTAAAATTTACTTCTCTATTTGGAATTTTAACTAACCTCAGCCAGAAGCAATGCCACTAAACAAACTTTACTTTCTTTTTATTTATTTCTTTTTTTAATTTATGAGTTTTAACATTTTACAATGAGGGGTCCATTTAACATGTACAAATATAAGTACACACTTCTCAACAGTGTTTTCTCTTCTCGATACGCATTACCATCATTTCTAGAAAACACAAATGGAACAGGACCAAACCAGATTTACAAATGCCATCATCTCTTCTCCTTCAGAAATATCTGGTGTTATTTCCCACCATGTTGTCAAATTTGGCATTTTAGTTATACACCAACCAACAAGGCACTAAAAAGACATTGACCATCATTACTTTCAATAGGATTATTATGATCTGCATTATTTGTAATAGAGATTTTTAGCAATTCACTTAAATTCAGTTCACTTTTATTTTAAGTGTTCACGTGCACCTAGTAAAATCTGTAGTGTTCTTTCTATGGATATGATAGCAGTGAGAAGAAAAGAAATAGTATTGACTAGACATTAATTTTAATATGTATTGATACTGAATCAATCTCTGGACAAAATTGGAACTTTTAGAATGATTGTGACATATATTGGAACTAGAAGAAGACCACATGATAACATCAAACGTGCACTATGTAACTTTTTGGTTGGGGTCTGTCACCTGCTTGTTTCTGTGGATATGTCATTACTCTGCCTGAAATGTTCCACAGTATAACATTAAACAGGTGTACTTTACTTTTATTAAATCACTGGTTGCAGACTGACTGTGTGTAGAGTTCCCTCTCCATAGATCTGACCTGTAACGTGGTCTGATTTGGTCTCCATGGATGTCATACTGTGAAAGTTTCGAGATAAAGAAAAATGGAGAAAAGCATCTAACAGACCCTTCACCAGAAAAGTTGCACAATGCACCTTTAAAGAAAAAAGGAAAGAAAAAGAAATCATTGTGGTATCAAATGGGTATTGAGCACGGAGCCTTTATTCCTCAGTATCAAAACTGAGTTTGAAATTGTAGTTTCATCTCATCACCACACTATTATAAGAATTATTATTTCCCTGGAAACTCTATTCTGTTTAAGAAACTCCCGCTTTCCGTACCCTCTTCTGCACTGCTCGCTTTCATTGCTGTTTTCAGCTTGCCCCAGTCTCCCCTCTCTGCTGTTAAACCTGCAGTGTGGAGCTGATTACAACCTGTGTGGACCATTTTCTTTAAACAGATATAATCTCCAGTCCACTTCGTAACAAGATTAACCGCTGAGAAACACGTCTAGTCGCAATCATATTTTCCCCTCCAACAACCTGAGCGTCAAAACCTTTCTTGTGCCAAAAATGGGTCATGTCGGAGAGCCTTCTCCCTCTGTGAAGTAGCAATATGTTTTAATGAGTAGAGGTGCAGGCGCAGGCAGAAAAAGTATATGCACTTTAAATATTTTATCACAGTTTTTAAAATCATTCTTAGATATTTCCCCTTCATTATATCACACGGCAGCAAAAACTGACACGAAGATGAGAGGAGAAGGCGAGCGTGCAACAAAAACTCATTATTGAGAGTCGGAATTGAAAACGTGCTTTGCTCACTGACTAAGTTGGAGGGTTTGAAGCTAACTGTACAAAGATCTGGCAAAACTTTATGACCACTACCACTGATAAAGCTGAACATATGTATATGTATGAAAAACAAGTAAAACTGAGTCAAAATTGTTTTAAAAAGTTTTAGGGGAGTAAAATGCAAAGGTCCACTGTGTAACTTTGGTGGATGTTACTGAAATTATTGACTTGCCCACAGTTTTCCACAGTGTGGTATTAAACCTATCTATCTGCATGGAGACAAGCAGTTGATGCCACCAAGCCAAGTTAGAAAATAGAAAGCTTTTCTGATCTGTTATAATGTTGTTTCCCCATCAAGATCAATTTGTGTTTTGTTTCTTTCACACATGTTTAACACAAACTATTTAGACTCAGTTCTTCTCTCAAACAGAGAACATACTGTTCCACCTTGTGATGTCATGCGGTAATACAGGAAGTGCTCCACTGTGTTTTTAAACCCCATACTTCACAAGAATAATTTGGATAAATGTCCAATCTCTACTAAACAAAAGGTAGCTGTTAACTTGAAAACTACCACTTCAGGACATCACAAAGATGTTAAACCAGGGTCACTCAAACATGTGTGAATGAAACAAAACACAACTTCAGGTATGTTTTTGGGGAGGTAACATTATAACATGTCTTAAAGCTCAAGAGTCAGTTTTGTGTAATATAGGACCTTTAATGTCATAATGCTTCCTGACAAAGCAACACCCCTTAACGTGAAAACAATTGCATAATGCACCCTTTAAAATGATCAGATCTAGTCTAGCTATTTGCAATTTTAAAACATAGTGGAAGAACTACAATAGATCTGGTCTAATTTTGCAAAAATAATGAAACTAAATATAACTGTAATTTAGTTTTTGATAGGAATAAGAATTAACTTTTTTTTTTTTTCCAAGAAAGCATAACCATGGTAAACAAGCAACACCTAGTCAACAACATCCAGCAGGTGGTCATAATGTTATGGCTTATTGGTACACATTTTATGATAACCTTGTGCAATTTACCTGACCTTCTAAAATATTCAATGCTCTAAAAAAGGGAATACCTGCTTATGTGTGTTATGCTTGGGATTGACAATGGATAAAGATACCTGGCATCCCGCTGTGAGACAAACTCAAGTGGACAGAAGGCAGCAGGGAGGACGTCCATGATTTATGTGTGGTTGTAGAGCACAGGTGATTGAGGAAATGGGTACTGACAGGAGCACATAGAGATGCAGAGTACATGCCTTTTGCCCACTATTGAGCAGCTGAGGGAGGAGAGGACGTGATTCAGACTTCTCCTAGCAACCATTAAAGGTGAGGAGAGATTTTAACCTAAAGGAATATTTGACCAACTTATCCAATGTATTCATGTAGTACTAGTCAATGATTATTAGTAGGATTGGAAAGGTCAAATGATTATACATGAGACAACATGTATTTATCTAGTTCCATATTGTTTTGATCTTAAAACTGTGGGTTTATAGTTCAGATCATGGTTATCAATTACTATAATAAATCAATATTCAACAGAAATGGAACAAGACACTATTTTCACGAGATGAGACATGTCACAAGATTCGGCCCACGAGAACAAAAGAAGATGAGATTTTTTTATTTATTTTTTTCCTTTTCTTTTCTTATAAATATTGCCATTCAGTTCATAATTTTGGCTTTTTTTTTTTTGTATTTATTAAATTTTATAGTTTTGCTGTCATTTTAGCATTGCTTTTTGGTATTAGAGCTTCTCAACAGGAGTCACTCAGCAAAGTTGACATTTTTATCAAAGGGAAATTCAAAAATATGAGAAAAAACAAATCTCACAAGATAATTTTCCTCATGTGTGCACAGTCTTGTGGCAATTTTGTCTCACAAGATTTTGTGGTACAGGATCTTGTCCCATCCCTAATATTCAACTATTTAAAATTCATTCATTCAGTTAGTTGTTGCAGCCATAAGATATGCTTACTTTTAAACATCACAAAATCTACAAATATTAATATTTATTTTTGCTCACTGATCATACTAAAACCTTTCTTTTTCATGTTTTTTAAGTAAGTAAATGAATGTTTGATTTGCCCTCAAGTATAAGGAGTAGGGCCATAGGTGTTGTCTTTATTCTGTTGCTATTCTTGTACTAACACTAAAATTCCCCCATTGTGAAACAAATAAATGTTTTCTTATTTTATCTCTCAGATCACACTTACTTAAAGCGTTACAGATTAAGATTACATCACAAATACCCAATACTTAGATTTTTGTTTTCTTACTTCACCTTTGCTTACTTTCTGTATTGTTCCATAACTAATGCAATTACAGACAAATGGAAATGACCCCCTGTTGCTTTGAGTTTGAAGACATAATTTGCAATTTGGTTCATCAGACTTAAAAGTATTTGTGCCAATCTAAAAGTCTATGAGGCTTATGCATTATAGTCATTTGCATTCATCCACTGTCTCACTGTGTTGTTGTTATTCTTAGTTTTCCTTATAATCGAGTCATCTCCTGCAAATGAATGACACTCCGAGGGGGATTTTTTGCTCCTTTATCATGCTGAATGTCAATTTCCTGTCAAAATTAGTCTGGGAATTAAAGAACACTGATTTACTTAGCGCAAGTATATGTGCCTATTGAGACAGGTTAGCTTGATAGATTGCAAAATATATAAACTCTTTTGTTGCTTATTAGTCAAAATAATGCATTCTTCATTAATAATGCATCACTCTCTGTCTGACTTCTGACTATCAAAGCAATAATTTACAACAAAATACTATCTATGTCTGAAACTTTATGAATATTTTCAACCCAAATAACAATTCAGTACCTTAAATCTACCTTCCATCATTTGGTTGTGTATTAGTGAACCAATCACTATCCGTTATTTCTCAATCTATCACCTCTCAGCTCTCTGCTGCCTCATGGTCACACAGTAATTGAGTGGCTAACATTTCTCTGTGAAGTTTGTGTGCGCTCCCTTAGTCTGGATTTCCAAACACTCCAGATGCTTAGACTTAAAGGTGCATTGTGGAACTGTTCTGGAGGGGGTGCGCAACCTGTTTGTTTCCATGGAGATGTTAATGCTTTGGTTTAAATGTCCACAGTATGGCATTAAATAAATCTGTCTTGCATTTGGTCAACTACAGGTGTTATTTATTGCTCAAAAATACCTTTAAAAACATCCATTCTTACTGTAAACGGGATCGCCTCTCCACAAATCTAACCTGTAATTTGGGTTCCAATCATGGAGATTCATAAGTTATCAGAACATTCTAGGCACATCTCCATAGAGACAAGCAGGTGCCAGACCCTCCAGCAGACAAGTTACACAGAGCAGCTTTAAACTTAGATTTAGAAAACTTCAGGGATCCACAGGGGAGATAATTTACTTCCTACATGCACAGTATGTAAAATCCCCCCCCCCAATATGGAAAAAACAGGAAAAAAATATAAGAATTTACCACTGTCTTTGTAGTAAATCTTTATATAAGGTGAATATGTGTCATGTATGGGTTACTCCTGAAAGTGGCCCCTTTTGCATTTTTCTCATACAACTATATTATGAAAAACTAGTAAAGATAAAGTATGACATTTACAGGTAATGTGCATGATAAACTACATTTTCTTTGTATGTTCCATGTAATGTTTGTATTCTTTAATTATATGTTGTAGTTTAAAAAAAAAAACTACACAAAATCTGAATCAGAAGGAGGATTTGAACCCAGGTTGCTCATGTGATAGTCCAGTGCCTTACCAGTTGAGCTGACCAGCTGCTACCTGTAGTGGGAACTACAGCAGATGTTGAGGACAATTACAGGTACTGTGGTATCACACAAGCAAATGGCAAGAGGAGGAAAGCAGGAAGGAAAGGAGATACAGGATTTTGCAGAGTAAAAATCTTTTTACAGCCTGATGTATGTTCACTGTGATATCAGTGGAAGAGTGCTATGTCTTATGTTTTTTTAAGGTTGCAGTGCAATATTTGCCTTACTGTATTTACACCCATGCTGCCCAACACACACACACACCCACACATACAAACACACCCCCACACACAAACATGCACACACAAACACACACATATAAACACACACACACATACAAACAAACACACACACAAACACACACACACACACACACAAACACCCCAACACACACGCATACAAACACACACGCACACATACAAACACACAAACACACACACCCCCACACACACACAGACACACACTGTGATAATTTTCTTTCTCACTCTCATACACACACAACACATGACCTTTGTCCACCACTTGTAAGGATATTGTATGTGGGGTTAGTGTCATATACAGCCCTTGTAGGTTACAAAGTTTTGTATATTTCATGCTGCACATATTTACCAAAGATCTTGTAACTGTTTTCACTGTCATATACAAATCCTTTAAGATTCAGATAAAACATATTCAAATGGTGTATGATTTGGCTATACCTTTTCCATATGGGCCCGACCAAGCCCAGCTCAACATCTGGAGACGGGCCCCCAGCTGCTCCTGACACATTTTCTGCAATGGAAATCTTCTTGAATGTTGCATGGTTGTAAGATTGTACATTCCCATAGGTAACAATATACAAGCATACAACCTTTATTATATGAGTATCCCTTTGTCTCCTATAGCCACGTTTTATCATTGCCTCTGATGCTGTGGGTGTTCCAGGCTAAATCTGCAGTCTGTTCTTCCAGCCTTTTAAAAGAAACTGCAATAAATCAATGGCCTCCTGCTTGTGCGTCTGCGAGAGTGAGGGAGAGAAGGAGGAGAGAAACAGAGAGAGAGAAGGGGTGGAGGAGAGATAGAGAGATAGAGATAGAGCGTGAATGAGGGAGACTTGATAGTTGGCCAGAACAGATTGAATAGATTATCGGATATGCTTAAGGCTCAAAGCATCACTTTACCTCCTGTTGTGTTGTTCGTGTGCAACATTGACCATACAGTCTGGCATACAGAACAATATAGAACACCTTAGCGATATCAATGACTGGGGAATAGTATGAATGTGATTGGTCACAATGAGCAAACGTTTTTTGTTTTGTTTTTTTTCTTTGGTAACACCTTATAGAAGATGTGAGTCTGGTCACTGGTGAATCTCTCTTTTCAAATGGGCGTGACAGATGGATAGAATGCAAGGACATGCATCGAAAAAAGTAGTGGAAAAAATCACAGGGAATTGAAAAACATTGCCAATTTCTGTAGAATTAATGAGTGAAACACTAGACTTTTAATCTAAGATGAGATGAATTTGATTTTATTTGGCATTTCATTTCACGTGCGTCACAGGAAAAAAAAGACAAATCTGATTGCCTATTCATGTTAGCTTGGGCTCGAGGTGTAATGGAGGGCATGGAGACCAGATGGATATCACTCTGTTTAAAAAAAACAAAACAGAAATCACTCTGAATTAGCCAGGCAAAATAATTACATGTGTAATAATAACGTGCATAAACTGATACCATATTATGTCCTCTTCAAACAACAAAGCATCTATGCAAATGCTAACAAACTTTTTGATTGAAATTCTTAAATGCATGTAAACTTACTCTTATTTGCTCCTAAACTTAATTTAAAAGGTACACACACTGAATCCATAATCACAATCCCATTTAATCATTTTGCAAAATCCTTCAGCTATTGAAATGAGGACTAAATTATGACTGGTTACAATTCTGTTCATAATGAGCTATACATTCTGTGTTTTCAGGCCCTGGATGAAGACACTGGTAACTACAGTTCTATGATGTATCGGTTAATAATGCCGCCACCGACGACTAAAGACGCGAGTAAGGATGGTTTTGTCATTGACGCGTTCAGCGGTGTGGTCAAGACCGCCATCATGTACCGCAACATGAGAAGATCCTACTTCAAGTTTGAAGTCGTTGCCACAGACAACTACGGGCTTGGGCACAGCAGCAAGGCAGACATTGTGGTAAAATATAAACACTAAAGCTGCTGTAACCAGATTTTTACTGCCTTAAAAATGTGAACAATTGAACTAAATCATTTTAAATGGTTTGCAGTGATCCAATGTTATTCCTCAATTCCTCAACGCATTTATATCTTGATGAGTTTATAGGTCCTTTTAACAATTTTCAAAGCCAGTTCTGAAGTCACAGCAAATTCTATCAATAACTAGCATGCTAACAGCACACCAGCTTGCTTCCTGGATCAGTGACGATAAAAACATTTCTCATTTGGTTCTAAAAGCTGCTTTTGTACTGGGGAAAAAACTAATTTTCAAAAAAAAAAAATCTTGTACAGCACTAAATGTCAAATTCACTTATCTGTCCTCTTCTTGCATTTGATTTTTAATAAATTTATCCTTATCTTGAACAAAGAAAACCTTAACATTTTCAACACTTCCACAACACTCTCTTGCCCATTTCTTAATGTCACTAGATCCAATTTGCAAATCATAGCTGGCTGGTCTTGCTTGGTTTTATTAAGTGGTTACAGAATACATTATCAACCACATGTTAACATTATTCTGCATTTTCTTTAATGTTTTCCATGGTACACAGTAGGGTTGCTAAAAGTATCGAATATCAGATACTAATTGATATTAAAGCTAGTACTGAAATTAAACTAGATACTCATTGGATCAGGTATTGAGATTTTGAATGGCTTTAGAATGATCTTGAGCTGTATCAAAACAATAAGACCTCATAGACTACTATACGCACATGGACCACTCTGGAACCTACCTGGACTACTGAGGGATTATGCAGATATAAGGCCACATGGCAGTATAAAAGAAAGTAGTATTATTTGTTGAAAATCACATTCTATTGTCCAAAGAAAGAGTAATTTTTTATTATCATTGTGGTAACGGAATCGGTATTGAGGATCGAGTCTATTTCTTAGTATGTAAATGGAGTTAGAAATTTTTATATCCTGACAACACCTGTACATAGTAGTGTTTACCATGCCACAGTACTATTGAATTTCTCATTTTAAGCACTGTTACGAAATAATTCTCTCTTGTTCACACTTGAGAATTTGGTCTTGTCTTTTATCCATGCTTCCCTTGTCATATTTACTAATTATTATTTTGTGTTTGGTATGACAGTGTTAAACTTGACATCTGCTCGCTGTTTATTTGTCTGGTAGGTGTCCGTGGTAAACCAGCTGGACATGCAGGTGGTCGTATTAAATGTCCCTCCAACTGTTGTGGAGAAAAACAAAGATCGACTACTCAGGTAAAAGAGACTGAAGCATATAGGCCAGTATATTTGTCCAATGAAAGTTTTATCAGTGCTAGCCACGGGGAACTCAAACTCTCAAGATTATACCATTATTATATACGATATTTTTACTTGATACTATAGTTTTACTTGATAATCATAGGGTTTGAGTTATTCTGTGCATACACCATTACATTAAAATTAATATTCAGTATTCAGCATTTCAAAAGAAAAGAGTGCAGTTGTCATATGCACAGCTACATAGTTTGAATGGTTGAATTGATTAGAACATTGGCAGAGTAGAAGTTTGTCTCACTTCTTCAGGAAGGCTGCTCCAACTTTTAGCTACATAAAATTTAAATGCTGATTCTGTTTAGTCTTAACTCTCTTGTTTGTCATTACTAATGTTTGTTACTACTACTTATTACTTGTTGTATTTTTCATTTTCCCACAAACATTTTGTCCTCTGCAGTATATTGGAACGCCATGTCCAGGACCAGATCCCTGGGGCTAAAGTTATTGTTGAAACAATTGGACCTCATCGCTATGGCGACGGGATGGATCTTGAAGACTACACCAAATCGGACTTAATGATTTATGCCATAGACCCGCTTACAAACAGAGCCATAGCACGACAAGAACTATTCAAGTATGTGAAAAAATACTGCAGATTGGAAAAGAGGTTTCCATATGCACTGTTCATGAAGTGTTTTTCTTCTTTGTAAGGTTTCTGGATGGCAAACTGTTGGATATAAATAAAGAGTTCCAGCCCTTTATGCCCCCTGGTGGTCGTATCCTGGAGATCCGGACTCCGGAGGTGGTGAGCGGAGTGAAGAAGGCCGTGCAGACTGTAGGCTACACTGAGGGGGCTCTGCTGGCGCTGGCTGTTATCATTATTATCTGCTGTGTTCCTGCTATTCTCATCGTAGTGGTCACGTACAAACAGTGAGTACAAGTCAGGATCTGCTACTTCTTATTTTGTAGAAGATTTCATTTATTTCATTTCATTATTAAGAACATAATTTATATATAATGCATATATCACAGATTGTGCTCACAGTAAGAATGTTTTTTGTGGTATTTTTTTCCTTGATAAAAAGACCTGTAAACATTCAGATCCAAATAGACTTATACAACGTATTATATTTATACCTCAATTGCACAATGATGAGTAAAATGTCCTTCCACTGCAACAAGAAAACCTTTCCCCACTCTATAAATAAGCAGATGATAAAATAAAACATATAAGAGTGACAATATGTCTCAGTGTTCCACAAAAACAAAGCTCTTTTTGAAAAACAACAACCATGTATCCTAAAACAAACATTAATTCCTAGGCCCAGTCGGCATTAGCAGTTCCTCCCTCAGGACGTCCTTTGGCACTACTTATCAATTTCACTTAATTTAGTATGACAGCCTGCCCCACAGCACCAAGTTTGTTTTGCTAACTTACCACTGTTTAAGGCTATTTATTTTATCTAGTCCACACACACACATCTCAGCAAAACTTACCAAATATGATATAGTACAAAAAAGCTAACAAAGTGATACTAAGTACTCTCTTATATTCGTAAGTGACCGTAATGAAGACCAATTGTCTCCAGCGTACTTGCATATTTCTTCCAACACAAACAATAGCATGATTTATGAAGGGAAAGATGACTAATTCTCCTCCCTGTCTCTGTTTCATCCGCTGCTGCTGTCCGGGCACACGCCAGATTCAAAGAGTAAGTAATGCCTTCCTTGTGCTAAATATTTGTTCATGGGCTGTGATTTATGTGTTGACTTTGCAGTAAAATAGATGGGCCCATGCGGTGACACGTAAAGGACAGAGCGTAATCAGAGAAATTAATCCGAGGAAAAGACAGCAATCATTAGCGGGGAGAATGCTGCCAAAATCTAACGTCCAAAACAAAAATGCAAGAAAAATGACCTTGTTTGAGGGGCATTTTGAATATATTGTTTATTTAAGCCCTAAAGAACATATTTGCTTAATTAATTAATTATAATATGCGCAAAAGTAGGGATACACCGATTATTGTCAGGGATATTGGCACCAGTCCTGAAAAAATTGCTGGATCAGCTCCCAAATAACAGTTCAGTCGAGATTGGACAGATAAACTGATGTAATAAGACTATTTACTAGTTGTCGTTGGGCCAGAAAGTCTCATAATGTTTGAAGTTTTATTTATACAAAGTTGTTTTGTAGTTATTTAAGTGATAAATAACAGCTATATAACAGATTTGTTTGAACAATAAATGCTTCTTTAGTCTCTGCATTGGTATCGGTTGTTATCGGGTATCGGCAGATGCTTTAAGCCTTACTCGAAATTGTATTAGATTTGAAAGGCCTGGATCGGTGCATCCCTATTCGCATTTCGTGTCTTATATGAATTATGAGGGGGTTCTGTCCAAGGAACATCGTACAAGGCTATTCATGGATTTCAGTCACATAACATTTCTCAATTATGGAAGCCATTTTGAGAACTTTTTAATGTGATTGCTTATTACTATGGCAACAATCCCAGTTTCGCAGAACTTGAAACTCATGGATATGATTGGACTATAATTCGCCCTCTGTGTGTCTCTGGCTTCCTGGCCTGATTGATAATTAAGGTATTACTACCCCTTTCACTACAAGGGAATATTCAAAAGGCAACCATACTCTTGAACTCCTGAATATATGTTAGTCAGTGCCTCAATTTAGTATATGCAAAATGTATGGTTTAACTTTTTTGTGTGCTATTTTTTACCTTAACCTGAGTCAAATTCACCGTGCTGGTCTCTGTGTAGGCGCCAGGAGGAGTGTGCCAAAACGGCCCGTATCCAGATGTCTCTTCCAAGCGGGAAACCTGGGGGAGGCATGGCCAACAACCTGTACGAGGAGCTGGGAGACAACGCCATGTGAGTGCTTTTCACACCCGGGCCCATTCAGTGCTGTTCTAAACATACGTTTGATGAGTGTATTTTGGTGATAGAGGTTTTCATTTTAAATATAGACACAAAAGACCACTGTTTAGACAAAGTAGATAGGTTAAGTAGATTACAGTAAAGTGTGAATTATGAGGAAAAGCAAGAAGTTACACAAAGTTGACTCTAAGACTCACCAAACTTTTTCTCTGGGGGCCACATTATCACTCCTGACAGTGATGGGGGGTCGAGGTCGGGGAGGCCGACAAAGGAATACATGCTGTTTAGCAGCCAGTCCACCTTTCATCTGCTGTATCCTATCTTCTCTCATTTGCCCTCGCAAGCTAGCATACTCTTTTTGGCAGGTTTCGTACTGACGACACACATTATATTCTTTGAAAACCGCCACACTTTCTTTACATATCAGACAAACTGTTCGGTCCTTACACTGAACAAAAAAATAATTGGTCATCCACTGTTCTTTGAAAACTCTGCACTCTCTGTCAACTTGTTTGCTTTAACACCAGCCTTTTTGCTGTCCTTAACTGCACTACAGAACTGTGTAAATACGTCATATAATTATTTCAATATAAATACTTAAATATAAGTATTTAATTCAATTATTAATTAATTTTATAAAAATCTACAGAATACAAGATGCAGACATGTTATTATTTGCCAAAAAGTAATTTTAAAAAATAGGTCATGACAACTTTTGAGGATTCCCTCATAGGGCCATAAGTGGTGGGGGGCAGAGGATCTGGGGGGCTGGGGGGGCTGGTCAGAGGGGCGTGGCAGGCCGGAGTTTACTCGCAGGCCTTTGTTTGATGACCCCTGCTTTGAGCCATGTTATGATCTTGTTACCTCATCAAAAACATACTTGGAGTTGTGTTTTGTTTCAGTCACATGTGTTTGAGTGACCCTTTATTATTAGGCCATCTCTATCTCCAAAGCTCCACCTCTGTTCCACCTTGTGATGTCATGTAGTAGTAGTTTTCATATTAACAGTTGTTCAGTCCAGACTCACATTTCCAGAGCTGAAATCATCCAAATGATTCTAATGAAGGGATATGGAGTTTAAAACCACAGTGGAGCACTTCCTGTATTACCACATGACATCACAAGGTGGAGTGTCTTCTGTTTGAGAGAAGAACTCATCTTAAATATGACAGGGTTTGTATGTTAAACATGTGAATGTAACAAAACACCACTACTATGTTTGTGATGAGTATACAACATTATATCATAGATCAGAAAATAGTGTAATATAGGACCTTTAAATATGGAAAAGAAAATTATGTTTGTTTCTGGTTTACTTTGGGTACTAATTACAGACTTACACTTTCTTAATAGAAATATCCACTAATGACACTTGTTCAAGCTAACTAATTTACTAATTATAGTTGTAAAGATTTCCTGGTCTTCATTTTCATTTCACATTTAGATTGTACAAAATAATTCCTTTCCTACTTTTTCTATTGAAACAGGTTTAATTTAATTGCAAAATATAACCTAAGGAGAGATTGTTGTAATATTAGCTGCACTGGGAACTAACAATAGAATGAACACAGCTGTCTATCAAACCAAATATGTATACTGCATCATAATAAGTGTACATGTATGTATATGTTCAAATAACATGTATTTTTCTGAAGAATGAACTGCAATCTCTTCTAATGTCCAGAGGCGTGTCTGCTTTAAGTAAACAGAACAGCTCTAACAAGAGTAAACAAGAGAGTGGCCGAAGCTCTCCAGGTCACTGATCAGCCCCCTCCGCCTTCTCAGCAGTCCACAGTCTAGACCTATAAACATAAGCAGAAACAAACCATCCAGCTAAATGTAATGGAGAGAGGGGGCTAGCTGTGCATTATGCTACCTGCTGAAACAATTGAAGCCATACTGGTACTAGAATAAAGTAGTTTCATTTTTAACCTTTTACATTTATCCTACTCAGTTATATATATAAGAATTATATAATATATAATATATTGTACTGTACATGTAAAATGTTTCATTATATAATAACAATGTCATAATTATTTTAATATTATTTTATCTAAATTTTAGTAAAGGGACAGTTCGTAATTTTGGACATAGGGCCTCATTTCCTAGTGAGCCAGAGTGTTGGAGACGTGTGGAGACACTTTTTTAAATAGTCCATCCAGTCCTTGTATTTGCAGAGGTCGTTGGTGCTAGGCTAGCGCATGTCAATGGCCATATTAGCCTGCCACTAAAAACAGTCTTATCCACTCCACAAAGCACCTGAAGCAAAACAATTGAAATGCCAGATTGTTGATGTAAATGTCTGTGTCAATAGAATAATTTTAGAAGTAAAACCAACCTTTCATTTGAAGAATTTACATCTGAGCAGCAGCAGCGTGTTGTACTTCCTGATAGAAAGCTTGGCAGCAGCGGACTATATTAGAAAATAGTCCCTCAGCATGATGCATGTGATGCAAGGTTAGTTTTATTTCAAACATGATCATTATCATCACAGACATTCACATCGACAGTCTGGCATAATAACAGATTTGCTTTGGGTGTTTTGTGGAGTGGGTAAGACTGTTTTTAGTAGCAGGCTAATATGGCCATTGACATGCACTAGCCTAGCACCAACGACCTCTGCAAATACAAGGACTGGATGGACTATTTAAAAAAGTGTCTCCACACGTCTCCAACACTCTGGCTCACTAGGAAATGAGGCCCTATGTCCAAAATTCTGGACTGTTCCTTTAATTCGTTTACTATCACTGCAAATAATGACAAATAATAGCAAAACCAAAAATACTGGTAGTGTAACAATGTTGTGTCAAGTTTATGAAGTTGTAGTGTACTGTTTTGTATTCTGCTTTTGTTGCTTTTGAGACACTGGGCAGGATCGTAGGGTTTGAATAGGGCCCAGGGGATATTGCTAGATTACTCATGCATGCATGGATGACATATAAAACCTCTTCAGGCATGTTTTTGATGAGGGAACAACGTTATAACAGCAAGCTCCAAAACGTCAATTTTGCATAATACCCCCTCTTTAACAAATCAATACTAATTCTTTTTTAATGGAGAGAAGTGCTCAAAATGGTGCCTATAAACTGGAACCTGAATGAATCGCCAAGGCTTATACTGCCGTAGTATAAACTCTATTCAGTAAGCAACAACCTGAGCTTTATGACTTGATTTATTGATTAAGTTAAAAAAAATCCAAGGAACTAAACCTTAAAATGTCTCGGAACCAAATTTGTGGCCCTTTGTTATACCAAAGTGACTTTTTGGCAAGGCTAGATCATTTTCTCCACACTATTTACATTTCCGCTGGTAGAAAGGACACTCTCAGTCCAAACAGATGAAACTATTTCCCATTAATCAAAGCCAGTCTCGTAGCCCGCCATCACAACAGCCCTAAACAACGCTCTGATTTAGGCAAACGCATTAACAGCTCCAGATAAACCCTGCAATTTTATCTCCACAAAGTTCAGCGACATTCAGCTCTTTGCCTGTCAGCCCTCCTCTTGTAATGCATACCAATATCCTCGCCATTCAAATCCAACTAGAGATGGGACCAGAATTATATTCTCTTTGTGAATATGCGGCATCAAAACTTGGTTTGTTTCTTATCTTTTCATAAAATGTTTTCATGCGCTTTGACAAAACAGTAATGGGGACAAATACCAAATATGAGACGTTCAGCCGTGACCTTTACTTGATACAAATTCACAGTGACTTTGGTGGAAGTTCGATGAAAGAAAATAAATTGCACAAAAAACAAGCCTGCCCAAGATGATGGCACTCAAAACTTTTACAATGATGTTAGTCTATTCATCTGGAAAGAAATAGACATCAAATTTTAGATTGCCATAACTGACGCTCCAAATACTGGTCCCTCTAACTCACTGGTTGGAAAATATGACAATTTCAACCGGGAGAAGGTATTAGAGGTTTTACTGAATGAGGTATCTTCAGAGCTCTGGCCCTGGCAGAAGACATTGCAATGAAGGGCGTGGCCAATTAGATGATGTGTAGGAGATGTCTTTCCCCCAGGGCCTGTTGAGGTGGTAGAGGTGAGGATGAAGAGAACAAAGAGGACGATGAGATGATGAAAAGCTGAGGAGGTGGAGCGCTGCATCTGTAATGAGGGTTTAAATTGGGAAAACTGGGCGCAGATTGGATGAAGAGGAGGTGTGGCAAGCAGCAGGGAGGAGTATTTGGAGTGAGGTGATGAAGGCTGAGGAGCTGATAAACTTTGGAGAAGCGGCGATGGATGTTCGGTCTTCCAGGCTCAATTCACGCTAGCTCCAGAACTGTTGGCTTACTCAGATGAAAGCATATTTTCTTTCAGTAGTTATACACAGTTTATCAGTTATAGTAAGAAAGTCTATTCAATATCACCTTATAACTTAAAGATAAAAGTGATGGAGCAGGTTTTGTGAAGCTCGCCATGAGAAATTCAAACTTCAAATTGAAACTTATTTTTCAATATTCTCATCCCTCCAAGGAGATGACCTCAAATGTTTCTATGATTAAGATTCCAAAGAAAGTCGATCTGCCTGGTTTTATCTCCCTTGTGCAATTATTGATAAAACATGACCTTTTTCAACCAGACACTGCACTTTTGCTTTCAGAGGTAAAATCAAAGAACATTCCTAAAAATTGACTTCATGTGTACCAATCATCGATCCATGCAAATGTCTGCTCACCTCATTGTGCACCTAGAAAATCATATTTAAACTGTCTTATTACCAATTTCCACTGCTTTGGTTAAACTACTGTCTAATAAGCACGCCGCATTGAACCACTATTAATTTCCACTAAACATTTAACACACCCACTCAAGGCAATGCACACTTAGTTAATTTCTCATTTCCTGGCGAGGCTCTGCACAGAAGTTGAACTCTTATCGGTATTATATGCATCACTGGTTTTCTGTCTGTCCTTGATATGGCTTCCCCCTTTCCCCATTAACATAAGAGCAATTCATATGCAAGATGGCACTGGCTATC